TTCCAGATCCACCGATCACAGCCTGGTTCATGGTTTTCAGAAAAAAGATTTTTAAGGCTCAAAATTTATAGGTTCCCACCCATTCTTCGTGATGTTCTCCAACCCTATATTCAGTTAATTCAACATGAGTGTTCATCTCTCAAAAGGATTTTGTGACGGTTAAGGAAACGACGAGGTTTTCGGGGTAGCAACCACCCTCATGTCTTCGTGTTTGTAGTCACCAATTTGTTCTTTGCTGAGGAATTTTCTTTGTAGTCCTTTCTTTGCAATTTTTATTTTCCCTAACTTTTGCCTGAACTAATTCTTTTGAATTGATAGTCCAGCAGGATGCCTTAGTTTTTGCCTAAGTCGTAAGTTTTCATGTTTTTGACTTAGCAGGATTTTTCTTTTTCTTGATTTTTGACTTTTTGAACAAAATGTGTGACATTAGCTACTGGTTGAGAGGATTGTGACTGCCTCGTTTCTTGATGAATGAGGGATAACATTGTGGTTCCACATCTTCTGGCTTCATTATACATGAAGGATGGCCCTCGCAGTTTCTCTTCAGAAATATCTTCCTTATGAATTTTGAACACTCAATCGGATTAACTGAAAACTACCCTGCCCCAGGTTAAAATTCAAGGTTTTTTCGTATAGAAAAGAAACTCCTACTTCAAGGCTCAAAAGAGGTTAGCAAGGGATTATCTTCCTTATATCTCCAGTGTTTAGGGATTTGAAACAATGCCTGTACATCGTCAGCAAGATTTTATCCAAAAGCATACAACCAGAGATTTTGTTTTTTAGATCATCATCCTCCCTTCAATCTCTGCCTAGGCAAGAGAATGAGCAACAATTTGGTATCATAGTGCAACAGCAATTTAAAATTTGAAAACAAATATGAGTGAAACGAATGAATTTATTCAAGACAAACATACTCATTGTATTAAGATAATCATTCAGATGCAAACAAGTTCTTACATGCAAACAATGTTTTGATAAACAAGAAAAATTACAAAAAGCATAAATAAGTTAATAATCTGGGAATGCTTTCCATCTGGACTTGAATTACCGAAAACATCCTTCAAAAATCAAAGCCACCATCAACCGTGTTTACTCTTCGGCGCATGCTTGATTTGAACTTCAAAACCAACGTCCTTGAATGACAAGATACCACTTCTGACCAACTTCTGAACCTCAATCTTCAAAGCAAAGCAACCCTCCAAGTCATGCCCAAGAGCACCTTGATGAAAGGTACAAGCCAAATCAGCTTTGTAGTACCAATGTATCTTCTCAGGAACCTTCGGTGGAGGTCGGGTCTGAACCAAATTCCTCTGCATCAGGATAGGGAACAACTCTGTATAGGTAATTGGAATTGGATCAAACTGGGTTTTCCTCTGATTAGGAACTTGCTGATTCTGTTGATGAATAGGAGAAACATGATGATTCTGACGATGAATATTTCTTCCTATGGTTCTCTTCTTGGAAAAGTTATTATCAAACTTCTTCACACCATTAGCTGAGCTACCATCTTCATATGAGCATCCCTTCCCAACATCTTCTTCTAGACGCACTCCCACATTCACCTTGTCAGGAAAGTCATTAGGTGCATTAACCATCACCTTCTCATGAGAGAATGATTTTAGAGTTTCAGTGAATACTTTTATCATCGCTTCCTCCCTCCTAGAAGGATTGACTTGGGCGGCAACTAGAATTTCGACCAAACCAGTTAAGTGCTCCATACTAGCTTTCAAAATAGTCATCTCTCTACGGAGTTCAGAAACCTCTTGCTTGATATTCTCCATTGTCCTCTTAGCGCGAGTGTTGTACTGGTTAGACCAAAGGAAAAAAATTAAGACTTGGAAAAAGACCTTTGACAGTGAAACAAAAAATGTAGAATGATGTATGATATGAAAAAGAGAGTTTTTATTTGATTTTCAAGGAACTCAAGATATTAAGTTGTAAACATCAAAGTATGAAGATAGAAGATGAATTTTAAATTGGCTCAAAGCGTTGATCAAGTTATCATCAAGATCAATCATCCATTTTGGTGGATTAGGGTTTTCGCTCTATCAACACCCAAGATCCATTGAGCTTGACGAAACTTGTGATGTTTACAAAGAAAGACCTCCAAATTCCTTCAAAGTCAAGTGAAAAGGGTTTTATGGATGCATGAATGCATGGCTATGCAACAACCACAAGCAAGGTCACAGATAAAGTCGAAAGGTTCAATGTCACGAGCATGGAGTCACGGTAAGGAACACCCCCAAGGTATGTACTAACGGTTTAATCACACCTGTAGAACAAGGTTCTAAGAGTTCCCGGAGTCTACATTCCTCCTTCGGATATTACCAACGTCTTGATTACTCAATAATCAGCAATATTCTCAAGAGAAACTCATCCGAGCGTAGCATCGCGTGACAACTACTTCCGGATTACTCTGTTATAATCTCCGCGCTACACCTAAAAGGCCAAGATGGGTTATGGTTCTATGGTTCCCAGCTTCTCTGGCTCCCAGGTCGAAAATAATAATGTCTTCCCGATTACTCGGTAAACAAATATTACGTTCAAAAGGGCTTTCCACTGAGTGGGGGATCTCATGCCTCCTTCTTCGGGATTACTCCCTCAAAGTTAACATGACTATACCGCCCGTCCTATTCCTAAGTGTAACTTAGTCCGGGTATAGGACTTGTCCTTTGTAAATATTATCAACACCCAAATAATCATAATATATACATATAATCAAACAATCAAATAATGATAAAACAGATAAAACAAATTAGGCTTAACCCACTTAGGGATGGACCAGCAAGAGGTCAATCTTTCCCCAGCAGAGTCGCCAATTCTGTAGCGGTGAAAATCGGAGATCAAGCTATTAATTAACTTGACTCGCAAAAGCAAGAGTCGCCACCGCGCTTTATTATTTCCAAGGGAAAAGGGAAAAGAGCGAAATAAAACCCTAAAATATGCAATGTAAAGTAATATTTAAAAGTAATGAAAATACAATGCATTTTTAAAAGAGATCGAGAGTTCGGGAGTTGGTTATACAATGGGAAGGTATTAGCATCCAATGCATCTGCGGTACTCCACAGGAACCTTTTGAAATATTTGTTTTTGGTTAAAATTGTTTGTTTGATTAAAATGGTTCGTTTGGCTAAAAATCGGTGTTGGAGAGATTTTGAAGATGTGATAACCTAATGTTGAAGTTTTGACTTAAAAAGGGGTGTGAGTTTAAAAATTGATTTGTAGGAGATTCGTCTTACGATTAATAAAACTAAAAAAAGGTATGAAGGGATTTCACATAATCGTATTAGATACTCGATGACATGAAGTCAACAAATTAATTCTTTCCCTTGGATTTAAAACCACAGACAGATAAATAAGCTAAGAGTATATCAAACCTCAGGTGAAAATAAATCACAAGCCGACAGCATCAAAAAACCTGATGTAAGATAATACTCCAAGCATCAGATAAAGCGCCTCAAGTGAAAATAAATCACATACGAGAAAAGCGTGTCATGAGAGGAATCAGATAAAGCGCAAAGGGGATGGATAAAGCTCACGGTATCAGATAAGAATCCCTGTATCACAAGATATATATCGACAAATCTAACAGCACAGGGAAACTTATGTGCGCCCGCACAATTTTCAGAAGTTAGTTGGAATTAAAAACAAAATCACAATGCAATGAAAATAATATTTTCAAAACCTAAATTTATTTACAAGTGAAGTCAATAGACAGTCAAAATATTATGTACAAGTATATATTTACAATACCAAATATTAAATCAAAATAGTAAGGTAAAAAAGGAATAATAAAAAAAGTATAAATGCGCTATGCGAGAACGAACACTTGAAACAGTTCTCGGAAACCTCCACAGTAAACAAACTCGTTAGTAGCATAAGCAGTATAAAATGAAGGAAATTGCAACGGTTAAAACATGTGTCAGTAAGTAAAAAAATGAAATTGTGTGCTGCATATGAATAAATGAATATTTACACAAATAAAAATCAAGAATTCATGACATTATTCAATGTAAACACAAAAATCAGCATTGCATTCATTATTTCAAGTGTATCAAAAGCAACCGCTATTTCAAACACAACGGAAAACAAAAATCCAAAGCTCACTTTGCAACATGAGAAATTGAATTCAAAGCATGAACCAAACAAATGATGATTATCAACAATTTAAATTCACAAACAAAACCAAAGAAACTCATGCTATAATTCCATTCAAACCATGAAAAATCAAACATTATTCATGCAAATCAAAAGTTGGACAACAACTAAAAACTTTATGGACTAAAAATCTCAAAGCGAAAATCAAATGTTCATTCCATTTATGAGTATTCAAAAACCAATTAGCATCTATTCATGCTACTCAAAACATGTTCAAAACATGGAAAACAAAATGTAATTGAGACATAATCGATCAAAAAAAAAAACCGGGCAGCAACTCTATAAAATATTTCCCAAAAATTCCAATTTTAAACATGGTTTGTAACAAAAGGAAATAGCATGATGTCTTCAATGGTTTCTCGGTTAGATTTACACGCAAATAAAATGCGGCATTATCGTCACCTTCATCGAAACTAACATGAATATTATTCGCCACAAATTCAATTAAAATCAAAACAAGAACAAATTATCACGGTACAAATTTCAATTGAATTCAAACAAAACATGGTAATAACTCAACATACACCAATGGAATGGTATCCGACACAATAAATTCAGCATAATCCGATACTTAAAGCGACATTGAATTTAGAATTTATCATAGTTTAATAGCAATTTTGACTCAACTGAATAAATTCAAAATCACATTTCAAGCTACTATCAGTGGATTACCAATCTAAAAACAAACTGTTTTTCATCAGAACTTAACAACAAAGCAAAAATAAACAGCATCACAATTATATGCAACTGAGATAAGATCGGAAATTACCGAATCGTGTCGAAGTGGAGATGCAATCTGTTAAACATTCACGGCGAGACGGAGAGAAGCCGAGGATCCAACTCTATTGCGAGAGCAATTTCTCGACCTCCAGTCACCTCTTTGGGAGGTTTTTCAGCATGGATACTAGCAACAACGCCCTTCTTTATATAGTAATCAATTACCGGTTCAGTTTGCTTGTGAAATGCCTCCAGTCTTGACTTAAGAACAGCTGCAGTGTCATCCTTGCGCTGAATAAGAGGTTGACCAGTAACATCGTCAACACCAGGAGCCTTGGGAGGAGAAAAATTTGTATGGTAGGTTCTGCCACTAGGAGGGTGTATCCAGCGTCCAGTAATCCTCTCCTCAAGGATTGCATCATCAATCGCAAAATTGAGCACTTTGTCAATTTTGGTACCTTATTTTTCCAGCATCTCATCAAGCTTCTGTGCTTGGATCACAGTTCTTGGAAAACCATCAAGAATGAAACCTTTCTGACATGATGGTTTTTTTAATTGCTTCATCAATAATGCCAACAACCAAGTCATCAGAAACAAGTTCTCCCTCCTCCATAGCTTCTTTCGCCTTAATACCAAGAGGGGTCTTAGCTACTACAGCAGCTCTCAACATATCACCGGTAGCCAAGTGGCATAAGCAGTACTCATCCTTAATGATTGGCGACTGGGTGCCTTTTCCAGATCCAGGTGGGCCAACGAGAATAAGACGCTTGTCGGGTTTGGATGAACACTTGAGGCAACGAAGTAGCTCGGTCATGAAATCGACGGAGGGAACATCTTCCAAGGTAGCGTTCGCCATTACAGTTTTCTCTGTTAGCGTTGTGTCTGCGATGGTGTGGCAGAGACAGAGGATAAAATAAAGGGCGATTGGTGGATGAAGGGATATGGCGTGCGCGATTAGGAAGAAGAAAAGGGAATTAGGTGGGTTGGTGAGGAAACGGAAGATTAGCGCTGGAGGTTAAGAGGAAGGGGCAGAGCTTTAATGGAGAGATGACGGTTAGGGGAGTTGTGGCTAGTGGAGACGGAAGGAGATGTTGATGATGGTGGGATAATCAAAGGAGGCGGAAGGAGATGATGACGGTGGATTACGGTAATGATGAGCGATACAACTGTGGAGGTTTATTGTAATTGAATGGATGAAGATTGTTGGTGGTAATTGAATAGTGTGGTTTGGTTGGATATTGAAGGCAGAGGAGTCGTTGGGTTTGTGTTGTGGAGAGAGGGATAAGAGAAATAGAAGGGTGGTTAGAGGAATGGTTATTGTGTGTTGAACTGGGTTGCTTTTGTTGAGAGGAGGGAGTTTGCGCTTGCTGATTGGGTGGTAATTAAAGGGAGAATTGTTGGGAATGGTTGTTGTTTTTGTTTTTTCTTTTTCATTTACAAAGAAATAATGCTACTTAAATAGAAAAATAAAGTGGAGATGGGTTTATGATTGCAATCAGAGCCATTCAAAATAAACTCAATTTACTGATCCGTTATTTTTGCTAACAACCAATAAGAATCAAGCACAGTGTAAATAATATATTTTTGTGACCAAATAGCCCTTAAATGATAAAAATGAAATAAAAATTGAAAGTATTAAAATTAATTCAATTTAAAATATATTTTTTGAATAATAAATAAAGAGCTAAAATGACCGAAAATAATTTAAAAAAAATGGACGAAAATTTATCCGAAAAAATAAAATGAACACATTAAAATAAACTACATGTCACAAAGATTAAAGAAAAAATATTCAAGAAGTCAAAAATCAAAATAAAATAATAATAAAAATATCAGGCTAAACAGACGTTTAAGGTTAAAAACGAGACTTCGAACTATACCGAAAAAATAAAGCGAGCATACCGTCATAATCTACACGAAACGCAGATTCATAAAATGATCGGTAAAAGGTGAAAACTTGAAATATTTTCTCGCTAATTTCCCGCATAGTGTCGAATCGCTCTTAACAGTCTGTCTATAAAATCGAAATATTTTATTATCGACATATAAACAACTCGGAGCAATGCAAGAAAATAGTAAACAGATAAAAATGAATGAAGTGAAATGTCGGGTATTTTACAACTGAAAGACGATGCAAACTTTGATTTAAACTGACTTTTTCTGGTAAACTTAAATACGACTAATGATGCAAAATATGATGAATGAAGATATTTACTAATGATTGTGACCAAATGACAAAATATGGTATGAATGTGCGACTGAAAAAATTAGGGGCGAAATTAAGGGTGCAACGGTGTGCCTTGATGAATCAGTCTTCGAGAATCCACAATCAACCGTACTTCAGGATTGGGAGACTCAAAACCTTAATTGAGGCGCGACACCTGATGCTCTTGATTCAGACCTGTCTCTGCACATGAAGCAAAAGAAAACATGAACATACACCTTTGTATGGATTAGAAATTAGTGATACATAGGCTAAAAATGTTCAAAACACTTGACAATCTTCACATAGTCAATGCTTGAAGGTGAGAGGTTAAAACCAACCGTATTTCGTGACCTTGACTTATCTTAAAAAATGCAAAACAAAAATGGGATCTTAGGTCAAAAATTGGGGTACAACACTTTGCTACTTACCTAAAAAGGGTACCCCCAGATCCGGGTTAGGATCTATAGAACTCCAATACAAGCCCACAAAATTTTAAAGCATATAAAGCATACAATTGAAAACACAAGTGATCTAATCCTAAGGTACACCTCACTTATAAACTCCCCAGCAGAGTCGCCAGTTCTGTGATCGGTGGGAATGAGAACTGACTGTTTTGGAATGCTGGTTCGCGTTTGCGTTTGTTTTTGCAAAATGTCGCGGTAAGCAAGATTCGCCACCGTCTTTTATTTTATCCAACAAGGAAAGGACAAAAGCACAGAAAAATTCCTTTTTGAGATGTTTCTCTGGTTCGGGAGGTAGATTATAGAAAGGGAATGTGTTAGCACCCTTTCTATCCGTGGTTATCCATGGGCTCTTAGGTACTTGCTCACTATGTTTTCAAAATTGCTTTCTTTGTGCTTGTGGGTTTGAAAAAGTTTTTATTTGAAACTTCGATTTAGCTCTTGCTTCTGTCCTCAAGAGCGTATGAAGTGTTTTTTGAAAACTTTGTTTGAAAAAAGAGTGTAAGGGTGAAAAAGGTTTTGTTTTGTTTTAAAAGGAGCAAGTACTTAAGAACATCTACCTACTCAAAAAGGAATTAAACTGTGCAAATGTCCTTTTGACAATGCTATCCCACTATTGAGGAGTAGGTAGCATCGTCGTTGGAGTTTTTCGGGTCAATTCGATTTTAGGGATATGTGGTCACTAAAGCAATGTTAGGACACCTTAGCGGCAACCCTAATGTCTTAGATCATTTTATCCGAGGCAACCGTTTCGAGGCAACTTTGATCTTTGGACAGGAGGGCGACCTCTAAGACTTCCTATACTCAATGACCACGTTTGAGGCAACCAAGTGAGGCGTACCCTAGGAGTGGCATGTGCAAGTGTGTCAATTTTCAGTTTACATTATCTTTACATGTCATGGTGAGCTACTTGTTGATTTTAAGTTAAGATAGATCTTGTCATGCATAGCCTATTATTCATACATCTAGCAGTTAATGGTTGCGGAAAATAAATTGCGGAAAATAAAGCTAAGCTATTACAAGGCGTCGGGTATTTACATCGCCAAAAACAAACCATTAAAATTAAATGCGAAAAGGTAAATAAAAGCGGTAAATAAAAAGTCCTAAGTTAAAACTATTACATCCTCGGAGCAATTACAATATATGGATCAAAATAATATGCGCGAGAAAAGTTGAATCAAATTGTCCTTTAGGGTCTTGACCCTTTTTTCATTAAACAAAGCATATTTTTGGTCTTTTTTGATTTAAGAATTAAGTCTAAATTAATAATGGAATTAAAGAAAATACTTTTTAGTTTTTATTTTGATTAAGGCAGTAAAATAGGAGTGATTACAAAGTTAATAAAATCCTAATTCTAAATCAATTTTAATTTAATGCAAAATCTGTTAAAATTATACCTAATTAAACTAAATTAATTGGTTATAATTTATTTACAAAAATAAGTAATAAAATTAAAATGTTTTTGTTGTTTCTGATTTTTTTTATGAAAAAGAGTTAATTAGTTAATTAATTAATTATGATAATAAAATAAAAACAGTGAAAAGAAAAATAAAGAAACAAACTCAGGGGTGCTGGGCTCGAAAAGGGAGTATAAATTGCAATTTCCAGGCCCAAACGTCCAGCCTGTTGGACTTTCAGATTGCCTGGGCGTTTGTTGATCAAGGTTCATGGTAAACCTCATCTTGAACCACTGAATCTAGATCTGGAACCACCTGGCACATGAGATCTGGAGGTATATGATGCTCCCTGCCTGAAGCGCTGCATCTGAGTACCTGAAGAAAAAAATGTAACAAAGTTTTGGGGGACCTGGGATTCGAATCCAGGTCCCAGGGGGTTCTGCAACGCACGCTTCACCAATCCAACTACACTGCATTATTGTTATTGAATTAAGAAACAAATATTATATAAACAAACAAAACGCTAAGCCTGCAAATAAAACAAACACGCTAATGGTTTGAATGAACCAATAGCACAAGGACACGCCATTGTCTTCTTCAAACGGCCCTGGTTTTTTACCTGCGGATTTTTATCCGCAGGAAGTTTCATAGGGTATCTCAAAAACCCTCTCCAGGCCATGTAAATGAAATCCAAGAGTACCAACGTACTCGTCTCTTCCCCCTTGTCATCCCTGTACCAATTATGTGCATTGATTTTTCCTGCAATTATAAACCCCTAAAACAAGGTATACGAACCCTAGAACTGGGTATGGCGTTACAGGCTATGAAAGTAAAATTCAGTGATGCCAACAGTTTCAAAATGCAACGCAAAGCATGAATATGTAATTATTTCAATGAAAGGATGCAAGAAAATGATTTCACGATATCATGTCCAGAATAAGATTCATAGATACTTACAGGGAGTTCTAGGCAATGAAAAGACCTGGTGTTGATTGGTATAGCTCCACTAGATGTCAAGGAAGAGAGCTACATTTTGCTTTTGGTCTAAATTCACCTCCAAGGTTGTTTTTGATCTTTCACTTTTCAAGCTTTTTTCCTCTCAAGGTTGTGGCGCAGTTTTTCCAGAGTTTCTGTGTCTTTTTTGTGTCTTTCACGTCTGTCTTCAAGGGTTTCCGTGTCTTTCACGTGTGTGATTTGTTTTTGAGCATGAGGTTTATATAGCCAAGGAAATTAGGTCAACATTTGTGTATCAAATCTTGGTCCATTATGATGAAGAGATTTGATTTGATTTCTTCATAAAGACTTGCTATATTTGATTCAATCAGGTGCCAATCTATTTTCTGGCATTACTGCCAGCCTGTTATGAGCTGTTTGGGCCTCCAATAGGATGGAAATCAAAAGCTGACTTGCCCCTTCGAATTCGCTCTCTTCGATTGCTTCAAAGTCCCCATTCGAACTACTCCAGTCACAGCCCCTTCGATTGAGACTCCCCCTGCTTCGATTGCATATTTGCAAGGGACACATGCCATTATGAACTTTGGGTATTCTGGACAGGTTAGGATATGTGTTTTTTGCCTAGTCATGCCAGCCTACTTCATTCCTTCGAATCTGCCTTCTTTTCCAGCTTCAAAGTCCAATTCGAATCTATTTAGAACATTCCCTATTAGACAACTTCGCCCAGCCCTTGGCCTTGTGATGAGTCTAAGTTCTGATTTGAAGTGTCCAGAACTTCCTTCATCAGAGCATCTTGGATTAAGAGAAACTCTACACTGAAATTCCATTTGAAGGTCAT